ATAAATAATTCGTTCTTATTGCGAAATAGGAGCACTATTTATCAATCTGTAATAAAAGACGTGAGGAAATTCTGTTGTTTTTAAAGACAAAAATTGTTGAGGCGAAATACTCGAAAAAGAAGTTTGTAAAAAAACTATGAGATTATAATCGCCAACTTACCCACATCCTCAAACGATAAATTGCCCAACCAAAGGATGGCGGAAAGAGTCTGGAATATTCCATTGCACATGTTGGCAGGTACTTGAAGGACTTGAAACGCCAATCTGAGATTGTCCAAACCTCTCGCATCCGTGTCCAGTTTGATGTTTTCCGACTGGTTTAAGTAGTTGTAAAATTTCGCATGTCTCAAGTGAAGCTGACTGGCTAACTCATTGTTATGCTATAATAAGAAGGTTGCAAATGTATGCGCAAAGTAAAGGTTGAAATCCAATTAAATGCCTAGTAAAAATGATTTCCTGAACACCATTTTTACCTTGGCTTCCTCCACCAGCTGGTAAAACACATGATAATTCCGCTCGCCCGACCCTTGGAAAGTGATTCGAGATTGCTCTAAAAGATAATCCTGTACAATGCAGCCTGCTATCATCCACCTGGAATCGAAGCACACCTGCATAAATTTGCCAAATCGACTCGAGTTATCGTTCCGGACTGTCTTGGCATTGCCTGCAATAAACAGCGAAACTTAAAGAATCCCCCATACAACTTTTCGTCGACTTACCAAAAGCTTCTAGTATGGTGTTGGCTTCTAAAATCTGCTGCTCGACCCAGGCAGACACTCCGGAAGTTACAGAGCACAAATACTGCAGGATAAACCGGGTGGTCTCCGTTTTACCCGCTCCACTTTCGCCACTTATCACTAAACTTTGGTTCTTGTGAGATCTGTCTAGGGCTGGAAGGCAAGTCTGCAAGGACGCATACGATGCTTCAGCTAATGCAAACACATGCGGCTCCAATTCGCTCAATTTACGTCCATGGTATCTATTTACGTAATTCTGAAACACACACAAAAAAATACTTTTAGGCGCAGAATGTGCAGAGTTGCGCTGCTGATGGGTCTGGCAAATTCAGCTCTGAAGGGTTTTCTGAGCGTGACTGTTCCGGCTTAAAGTAGGTGGAGCTGGGTCATTGTTTTGGTTGCGATTTTTCCAATTGATGACAGTTTGTTATGGTTTTTACGTGAACTTGCACTGTTTTCGCACTTTTCTGAGGTCGGGTTGCTCTAAGCTAGACTTGAAGATTTTGACCTTCAAGTTCAATTCCTCGAGGGCGAAGCATCGAACTTTTCCTTCCAACCCGAAATTCAACTTCAAGCTCACACTTTCTGGCTTAAAGTGTAACATTTTGCATGTTCAAAGTTTCGTTTTCAAATTTTTGGTTCGTACAGGATGCATTTAAATACAAATAAAAGCTTGAATTCATGTTGCATTGAGTTGAAAAAATAAATATTTACCTTCAAACTATACCTTAAATCTTTGGACGCGAAATTGGGTTGATTCTGGTCAGTTTTGTTTATGTAAAATTGCTGCAAACGTCGGTAAATAATGAACTTTTCTAAAAATTGTCGATTCAAACTGAGGCCTTAGCTTGCGAAAACGCAGGATTTAACGCAATATGCCGGCTTTAGGATTGAAATTACTTCGCTTTATACAGATTCAATGTTTCCTGTTGAAAAGAACTTTCCTTCGACAAGAGCGCATCTAAAAGCAAATAAAGAAGTTTGAGAACTTAGCTTGCGGTTTGGGACAGTTTTTCGATATTCTCATAAAATAACATCTCTATCCAACGATGCCTCACAAAAAACCACGCAAATCTAAAACTTCTTGAATTCAAGCCTTTTTTGAGAAAACTGCCAACATTTCCCCATCCATGGTTCACTTTCTAAAAAAGCC